GCCGCGGAAGACGAGACGGCGGACCGTAGATACCCCAATAGAGCGAGGCGAGCGCCCGGGGAGTGGTACCGGGCGAATATGGCGACGGAGTCGGGGGAGCACCCCAAGGGGTCGGGGGAGCATCCGGAGCCCCAAACGTATCAGAAAGCCGTAGGGGGAGAAGAGAGTTTGCTCTGGCGGAGATCGATGGACGAGGAGATGCGGTCCTTGTTGGAGAACGGGACGTGGGAGCTTGTCGAAAAACCGGAGGGGGTGAAGCCGATTCCCATGAAGTGGGTTTACAAGATTAAGCGGGATGCGCTTGGGAATGTGGAGCGGTACAAGTCTCGCGTGGTGGCGAAAGGGTACCTGCAAAAGCAGGGAATTGACTTCGAGGAAGTCTACGCCCCAGTGAGCAAGCACACGACTTTGCGGGCGCTTCTTGCGGTGGTTGCGGAGCGCAACTTGGAGTTGCACCAGTTGGACGTCAACGGCGTTCCTCAACGGTGAGCTCGAGGAGGAGATCTACATGCAGCAGCCGCAGGGGTACGAGCAGGGCGGACCCGGAATGGTTTGCCGCCTCAAGCGCACCTTGTACGGGTTGCGCCAGGCGCCGCGTGCGTGGCACACGCGTCTGAAGGAGGAGCTCGGGAACTTCGAGTTCGTGGCGTCCTTTGCGGACGCGGCGCTTTTCTCGGGAGTGGTGAACAGGGAGCGGGTTTACCTCATCGTGTGGGTGGACGACATCCTCATTGCGGCCCGAAGAGCGGAGCGGATCGCGAAGGTGAAGGCGCACTTGGCGGAGAAGTTCGACGTGCGGGACTTGGGGGAGGCGACGTACTTCCTCGGAATGGAGCTGTCGCGCGACCGAGAGGCGCGCACCCTGAAGCTGACGCAGAAGAAGCTGACGGGGGAGCTACTCGCACGACACGGGTTGGCGGGCGCGCGGGCGCGCGGGCGCGCTCGGTCCCTCTTGCCACGGGGGAGAAGTTGACGAAGGAGGGGACGCCGCTTGACACGGCGAGGTTCCCCTACAGCGAGCTCATTGGGAGTTTGCTATACTTGAGTGTGTGCACGCGGCCCGATATCGCTCAGGCCGTGGGGGCACTGGCGCGCTACACAAGCGTGCCGACGGAGGCACACTGGGCGGCGGCGCTTCGGGGTGGTGCGCTACTTGGCCGGAACGGGGGAGGCCGGGATAACCTTTGGGGGGAGCGACGAGGTTCTTGAGGGGTTTTGCGACGCGGATTTTGCGGGGGACGCGGATACAAGGCGGTCCACGACCGGATACGTCTTCCTGATGTTTGGGGGGGCGGTGAGTTGGTCGAGCCGTTTGCAGCCAACGGTGGCGGCGTCGACGGTGGAGGCAGAGTACTTGAGTGCGGCACAGGCGGTGAAGGAGGCGCTGTGGTTTCGCAAGTTGGGGGGAGACTTGGGGCTGGACCTAGGGACGGTTCAGATCTACTGCGACAACCAAGGGGCAATACGGCTCCTGAAGCATATCGGATGCTTCAGGATCGCTTCCCAGCGGTCGAAGCACATTGATGTGATTCATCACTTTGCGCGTGAGAGGGTGGCGCGGAAGGAGGTCGGATTCGCGTACTGCCGGACGGAGGACATGAAGGCGGACATTCTGACCAAGGCGCTGGCACCGGGGAAGTTCTTGAAGTGTAAGAGTGAGATAGGGGTTGCGTAGGATACTTAGTGCGTGGGGGAGTGTTGGATTTAGCTAGTACTCCTATCGTGTGAGTACGCCCTAAGATCCTAGATGATTTCGTAGCCGTTTTATTGAGTTTGATAGAGTGATAATTACCCCCTGGCAATTACCCCCTGGCAATTATCCCCTGGCATTTACCCCCACTGGCAGTTATCCCACTGGCAGTTACCCCCACTAGTGGTAGTTACCCCCTAGGCCAGTGTGGACCGTTAGATAAGCATCTTTGTGGAATCTTGGAGGCTAGGCCGTTGATGTATGAGTTGACTCACATAGAGCTAGAGTTGGACTCGACCAAGTAGACCTAGCCACGGATTTATGACTTGGACCATTGACTTGTATTGGTCACTCATTCCTAGTAGTTGTGCTTGACTTGAAACGCGCTCTAAGGCGCTTGCTTTCAACATGCATATTATCCATGCTGTCGTCGGTTTCGACAACCCAATTCACAGGATTTTCGGAATGTTGCAGCACACTCGATTCGGCAGGGGACAGCACACTAGAGCTCTCAACAATAGAATCACTATCAGTGGACATAGTATGTGACTGTGCAGAACTCCTCACGTCTGGCTCAGCCTTACCCTCAATCTCTCTCTCTCCCTGTCTATGGGTTAGATGTCAAAAGTTATAGCTAGCACTAGCTTATGCTAACTAGAGGGAGCGGCGACTACTCTCTTCCCCCCCTGCCGTGAACTCTGTTCTGGTCACGGCCGTCGCGCTCCTGGTTGCGCTCTCCTATTTGGTTGCGATTGTCGCATCCACGGCCACGGCCACGGCCATTGCCGCGCCACCCACCGCGTCCGCGCTAGTTATCCTAACGGTCGTCCCTACGGCAATCGTCCCAGTGGCGGTCGTCTCCGTGGCGGTCTTCTTTGCGGTCCTGGCGGCGCCGGTCTGGCGTCCGTCACCCGAAGCCACGCAGGGGATAAACGGGTGAGATACTGAAGCGGTTTGACTGGCGAACTCACTTCGAAAAGAATTCAGCGCAAGAATGCTAGAAATAGAGTTTCGGCTAACCCAACATCTAACCGGATGCGGCGACGCGCCCCTAGAAAGGACGGTCGGCACACTGTGGGCGAGCTCACAACAAAGGATTCAGCACCTGACCGCGAACTCGTCCGTAAGGACTTTCAGCTGGTCTCAGAAACTCAATGAAGTCGTTGTCCAAGTAGTGACAGAGCTCCATAACAAGCAAGTACGGCCACGCTCCCGGAGATTACTTGACCTCGTCAAGACCTCAGGAATGTGTTGGTTGTTGGCGTGTGCTTAGACCGTACCCCTGCACAAATCCCAACGCCGGCCTAGGCGGGGACGCTATCTAGCTATGCGTGCATAACAAGCACAGCCAATCGGCTCAAAACAAATATGTGTCCTCACTCTAGGGTGGGCTCTGGTTGGCGACGTCCTGTCCTGGCAGCCCCCAAGCTTGAACGCGAAGGCGAGGGTGGACTGCAGATGCTGCTGGATCTCCTGTGGATGCAAAGCGAGCGCAGGCCCTGGTCCACATGGAGGTGCAGGGGCAGGTGCAGGTACGGATGCAGCTGCAACGTGGCGCTCTGGCACTGGACTCCCCTGGCGCGCCACCCTCAGCTCCTTCAGGCGCGCGCGTGCGTCACCGTACGGCTCGCGCCCCCCCTGGCCACGTGCTCCACGACGGCGGCGGCGACGTGGCCCCCTGTTGCCCTCAGCTGCAGGCGCAGGTGCACCTGGAACGTGCGCAGCTACCTCTACGTGCTTCAAGTCCAGGCGATTGGTGCGGGCAATGGGGGCGTTGAGGTCGTTTGCGTCCTTGTCAGCGCCCTCCTCTTTTTCACCCGCGTTGTCTTCCTCCGTTCCTTCTTCGTCCGACAAGCCGTAGTCCAGCTCCTCTTCGTCAACGTCAGGAAGCTCTTTTTCCGGAGCACTGCGTCAGCAAGTTGTTGCTGCAACATCTGCCATGTTTAAATACAAGGATGGTTGTGCAAGCTGGTTGTCAGGTGCCAGTGGTTGGGTGGTGTAGCTATAGGCTATCCACGACAGCGCCGCGCTGATTTTGCGTAGACAACGCTGTTTCTAGAGGGTTTCCATAGGGTTTCAGCCCTCGAGAATAGTAAACAGCCGCATACAAATTAGCGAGACACCCCCAGCGCCGATGCACTGCTGAGCACCTCACTGACAAGCGGAAGCATATCCGGATCCACGTCAATCCAGCCTGAACGCTGTGCACTGCTGGCAGCCCTGTAGCCCCTCAAAACGAGCAATAATAATCTGAAAAGAAGGCAACAATGCAAAACCCTGTGGCGCCCGGCTCCTTCGGTGTCACACGACTAAAGCAATGTCAAACCCTTAACAAGCAAATGAAATCAGCGCTGTCCTCGTAAGCTGATCGTTGTTATACTCCAGTCGGTAATGCTACCAAAGGTCCACCACTGCTGAAAATGCGCGGCACCCCAACATATTTGGAGCAACCACACTGCGTCTAAGCAACTCTATGAGCTAGACAGGTCACCGAATGCCAACGCTCAAATGGCGCTAATGTCAAAAACCCAAAATCAACTCACAATCAAAGAAGGTGCTTGGCTGTACCCCAATGTCATCTCAGAAACAAAAGCCTGTGTCATGGAGCGTTTCTCCCACAGTACTTCCCGTCCCTCTTGTTAATGGCCTCGTATGCGTATGCGTAATGCCGCCCTACGTCATGAGGACAATCTCCCTTCTCTCTCCATCTGCGTCTCGTAGGCCAAGGATTCTTCTTGCGAGTCCAATGTTGGAACTCACGACAAGGCTGTGATAAAAAGTGCAAACAGGAGAGGCAATGCAGAGTAGAATACTAAGAGTGCTTGCATGGCCACCATGTCAAGGCGCCAAGACCTCCTCCACGAGAGTCTTCTCGCGAGAAGAATGATCTCCTAGCGAGAGGTCTCTGACTAATGTATGGCGTGGTCTAGGCTACCTGTATGAGTAGCCTATCGAATCGAATACTCGCGAACTGAGATGAGTCTGTCGCAACGACTGTAAAACATGATATAGAGTCTGCGATACTAGCTAAAGTAACCGCGTCTTTGCAAACTAGCTCGTAAGCTTGGCAAAGTCTCATAAGCTATGCAATAACAAGCAAATCATGCAACACCTATGCAACCGATGCTCTGCTATGCCAATGCCATACAGCGTGACAGCATTTCGAATCAGTAGGTAGGTGTACCATACCCTTACCAGCCCGGTCCATCTCTACCGCGCACTAGTCGGTTCAGTTATATGAAATCCTATCCAAGTGACCGGGTCACTATATGACGCACTTGGGCCACTATACGACTCGCTATGTGGGTTAATTACCACTCGGACTTGTGGTCGGTATTACTATACCGAGGTGGTCGGTAGTACCGTACTACTAGGTCGGGGCTAATACACACTATTGGTCGGAGCCCCTAAATCACTCGACTCGACTGCCGATCGGCCGGTCAACATTGTGTGAATAACACACCAAATAACTTGCCATCCTACGGTCGATACTCGGCTTACCGAAGCCTCAATTGACGACTACGAATTGTCTAGGATATGAGGGCGTCCTGATCTACTCACTCAGGTAACGCCCGATTCTCAACACTCCCCCTCACACTAAGTATCCTACGCAATCCCTATCTCGCTCTTGCACTTCGAGAACTTCCCCGGTGCCAGAGCCTTGGTCAGGATGTTCGCTTTCATGTCCTCCGTCCGGCAGTTCGTAAATCCGACCTCCTTTCGCGCCACCCTCCCCCGCACAAAGTGATCAATCACGTCGAAGTGCTTCAATCGGATGTTTTAGGAGCCGTATTGCTCCTTGGTTGTTGTAGTAGATTTGGACCGTTCCCAGGTCCAAATCTAAGTCTCCCGCCAACTTGCGAAGCCACAACGCCTCCTTCACTGCATGCCCCGCACTCATATACTCCCACTCCACCGTTGATGCCGCCGTCGGCTAAAGACGGCTCGACCAACTCACCGCTCCTCCGTACATAAGGAAAACGTAGGTACTGGTCGTGGAACGCTGCGTGTCAACTTCCCCCGCAAAGTCCGCGTCGCAAGACGCCTCAAGGACCGTACTGCTCCCCAAAGGTTATTCCGTCCTCTGCGCGGTCCCCATCAAGTAGCGCGCACCCCAAGCGCTGTTGCCCAGTGTGCCTCCGTTGGCGCGCTTGTGTAGCGCGCCAATGCCCCCAAGGCCTAAGCAATGTCGGGCCGCGTGCACACACTCAAGTATAGCAAGCTCCCAATGAGGAGAATATAGAAGAATCTATAGGGGAATCTCGCCGTGTCAAGCGGCTCACCCTCTCTCGTCAACTTCTCCCCCGCACTAAGGGGGACCGAGCGCGCCCGTGCGCCCCCCAATCCGTGCCGCCGAACAAGCTGTCCGGTAAGCTTCTTTTGCGGGAGCTTCAAAGGTCGCGTCGGCCGGTCGCGCGCCAACTCCATCCCGAGGAGGGACGTCGCCTTCCCCAAGTCCCGCACGTCGAACTTGTCCGCCAAGTGCGTCTTTACCTTCGCAATCCGCTCCGTTCCCCGAGCCGCCATCGTCGACCCAACGACGAGGTAAATCCGCTCCTTGTTCACCACTCCCACAAAGAGTGCCGCATCTGCAAAAAACGCCACGAACTCGAAGTTCCCGAGCTCCCCCTTCAACTGCGTGTGCCACATACGCGGCGCTTGGCGCAAGCCGTACAAGATGCGCTTGAGGTGGCAAACCAAGTTGGGCCCGCTTTGCTCGTACCCCTCCGGTTGCTTCATGTAGGTTTTGTCTTCGAGCTCACCGTTGAAGAACGCCGTATTGACGTCCAATTGGTGCAACTCCAGGTCGCTCCGCAACCACCGCTAGGAGCGCCCGCAAAGTCGTGTACTTGCTCCCCGGGGCGTAGACTTCCTCGAAGTCAATGTCAATTTTCCTTGCTTTTGCAAGTACCCTTTCGCCACCACCCGAGACTTATACTGCTCCATGTTCCCAACCGCATCCCGCTTGATCTTGTAAACCCACTTCATGGGAACCGACGTCACCCCCCCGATTTTCTGACGAGCTCCCACGTCCCGTTCTCCAACAAGCACCGCATCTCCTCGTCCATTGAGTTCCGCCAGAGCTCGCTCTCTTCTTCCCCGACGTCATCCTGATACGTTTGCGGCTCCGAATGCTCCCTCGATTCTTGAGGGTGCTACCTCGTTTCCGCTTAAAATTCGCCCGATACCAGTCCCCGAGCGCCTGCCTCGCTCTAGCGGGGTATTTTGGTTCCGCCGTCTCTTCCTCATCCGTTCCAACGGTCTCCTCGCTCTCGGTGCCGGCCTTCCCCATGGGGGTAACCCAACGGTGTCATACTCCTCTGGTAAACCCTCGAAAGCGTGCACAGCCAGCTCACCCTCTGAGTTGGTTTGTCCTGCCGCCTCCAAATCTAGCTTGAGCTCCCGGAATTCCCCTAGGTTCTCTGAGTTGTAAGTACGGACCGTGCTAACGTTACGCCGACATCACAAGTCCCGTACCTAAACCAAACGCGCTGCCAACTAGACTATACCCGACTTGGCAACCCCCAACCGGAGATAGAGGACCCTACCGGAGCGCGGATGCACGAGGACGCGGCCAGAGGAGGGGACCCAGAGCCGGGGGGGAGGCCGGCCGTTGCTTATTTGGCCTGGCAAGCCTGGACCGAAGACGCTTCGGGGACCCCGGAGGGAGTGGAGCCACTCTCCTTCGAAGAGGCCGGAGGCGAGCTGTGGGAACCGGAGGACGAGATCGAGCTTCCCGTGGAGCTGCCCATGCCGGGCCTAATGGACTACGGCAGCGTGGACGCAGATGTGCAAGTTCCGACTACACTGGAGCTGGGGCAGGACAAAGCCAGAGCCCGCACCAACATCGGGGCAGATATCAACACGCTGAACTACCCTCGACCGGGGCCCTAAACCCGAATTGGAGCAAAGACGAATTGGAGCGGGTGCGCCGGAGGGCGGGGTCGTACCGCTTCAGCGACGGGGTGGTTATACACCGCCTCAACGAACACGGTGAAGAGGAGTTTCAGACCTGCGACGGAGTGCTGCTGCGCTCCCTGGCAGGGGGGAAGATGAAGGTCGTGCCAGATTCCCATCAGCAGGATAACCAGATCCTAGAAATTCACGACTCTACCCGGCACTGGAGCGAGAAGCGCACAATGCACCTCCTCCAACGGACACACTGGTGGGCCGGGATGTACAAGACGGCCCACGACGGGGTGGCAAGCTGCCCCCAATGCGATCGGACCAAGGCAAGCTTCACGGTCAAGATGTCGGAAATGCAATCCTTGTTGAAGCCATTCACTCATGGTTGTAACAAGATAGGGTCCAATCCACCCTCACATACAAGCGCCTTCACAAAGAAGCGCCTTCCTCTCTTACAAGCATCACCTAGAATGAGTTGGGTTCTTTTGCTATTAGCTCAAGTGAAATAGCCTAGCTCAAGCCTAAGTTTAACTAGCAAAAGAACCCATCGGACGGCACACATCAAGTAAGAACCCAACATCGTACGGTCTCTACTAGCCTAGCTAACTAGCTAGTAACCACGGCCTAAACCAACAATTTGGCCGCCTAACCCACTATCATTTCCAACATTCCCACGCGGACTGATCGTTGAGTGCTCCTTTTCCTACCCTTTATTGTGGCCCGTCTTCTTCTTGGCCTTCGGCGTCACGATTATCCAACCCTCACTCGCCTCGCTAACGCCGTACCTGATCGGCGCCACTCGTGCCCGCTCCGGATAATGCTTGCCGCCCGTTCCCGGCGGCATCACCCCTCCGCTCTCAAGCAATTCTATTTCGAGACTCATCCGTGCTCTCAGGCGTTCCGCTGCGGTTGCTCCCACGGCTTCCGCTACATGTGC